TAGAGAATTATGGATTTATTTCAGACAATGTTGGATAGACATCGTAATTCGCGAAGTTCCACCGTCCGATAAGGAAACGCAGAGGATGAACGCTTTAAAGTGTAAAGCCTGTCTGCACTAGTTTGGCCAGGAGGGATTAGACCTCCCTGCATGGTCACTGACAGGTGGTTATCTCATCAAATCAGCTCTCAATTAACATAAGAAAAAAGGAGTCATGGGGGACCAACGGGCACCGCTTAGGCATTGTGTTATATATGGAGGGAGCAAGTAGTGCAGTGGGGCTTTAAAGATTAAAATCAGTTGGGTAAAATTGTACCCATTATGGGTAAAATGGGAGACATGCATATTTTTTGTTGTGTAAGGTTTGGTCCCTTAACTTATTATTTGGTAAAATGTACCTAAATCTTGGTAAAACCTACAAAATATTGAGTAAAACTTTACCCAAGATACATTCTCTTTTCATATAATATTGGGTAAATTTGACCCGATTTTTATAAAGTGTAGACTGGTAGAAGAAGAAAAAATCAAGAAAAAAAAAATACAAAAATACATTTTTTTTAAAGTGATATGATTTAGTCGACAAATCAACGTTACCAAAAATGACACAAGGGAAGATAAATGTAAACTCAAACTTGATAATTTTCTGATTTGTTGCTTTTTTCTCCGAATTATTCGAAAACATTAAGAAAACAACAACAACGTGCTCTAGCTTATCGAAATTGATATCTTTTTTAAAAACTCTGCTGCATACCACATGCTTTGTTTTTAACTATTTAAATGTGGATCGATTTGAGTATTTTAGTCAAAGCCATTTCATTTTCATTCCGCAAGAAATTAGTAAAAACTATTTATTGTTGGCAAGATTTGCGAATCAAATTATTTACAGTCAAATGCCTTAATGGAAATTGAAAATTACACAATTATTAAAAATGATTTGATTAAATGTATGTAAGTATCTAGTGTACGAGACTATATTTCAGAAAGGAAATAAGTGAGAGAAAGAAAGAGGGAGAGGGGAGGGGGAAGAAAAGGAGTAGACTAATGATAAGAAGAATTGGTTGTGGTGAAGATGAGACCAGAACAGCTTTCTCTGTTGTTACGTTTTGTAGAATTATTGTATTTTTATTTGTTTGCTTTTCCTAATGTATTTTCCAAATCTACCTCTACTAGTTTGCTGTAGAAAAAACGACACCCTTTGTGTATGACAGATGATTAGTGCGAGTCCAAACTGAAATTCCTCTAAAGGCGAAAATTCGAATCTTATTAATCGGGTAAAAAATAGCTTGACATGAAAATGATATTCTGTACACTCTCATAGCCCTAAGCGTGTTGTAAATTGATACCCGCTACATGCTATAAATGTACAGTTAGTGGAATCCCCCCCCCCCCCCCCCTCCTTCAAATATGTGTTTTAACGGCATCCTGAATTGTGTATATGTCCACATATTTGATTCGGTTCAATATGGCGTTTGGGGAATGGTGTAATCTTAGATGATAAGCTTGTAGAGGGAGAAAAAAAGACAAACGCCATTTCACTGGCGTCTGAATAGGAAGTATGCTATACGATTGTTGACAATGCAACAGCACCCCTCTCAATTCAGCGAGGCGCGATGTACCAACACGCCGGCCAGACGGGGGATAATGGGGTACATGATGGCCCCTCAACTGGCATGGTTTTTCCTAGCAGCGCGGCGTCGCGTACACGAGCGAGCGAGTTGAAACCCTATACTGCGGTCCGACATCATTAGTTTACGTGTGTGTACATACGGGACACTCGAGTCGCTCGCTACAAGTAGATAAGGCACTTGAGTGCTTCCTCGTTACTTGACTCGATAAAAGAGACCCCTGAAAGACTTTTTTGAGATGGTATTAATGGTTTTGAATAGCTTGCTACAAGTGGAGGTTGTGATTGATCACATACAGTGTCGGTGAAGAGAACAGTTGTTCATCTATTTGATTTTCCCGTAGATGCGCTTTTAATGACATTTTGATTCTATTCCGGATTCCGGTTGGGGCATATAGAGTGCTCCGAAACGAAAGAAGTCACGAAAAAATATGTTTGTATTGACTAAAATTTTGTATTTGATAATTTCATATTTTAATCTTTCATAACTCTCTTGCTTTTTCTCCGATTTATTTCACACTTTCGCCGTTTTGTTTTTCTACATATGTCTTTCTCTGTGCACTACCAAAAATATAAAAATCAAAATGGCCCAATCTATGACTTAGCCTACCAGTCCACTCTTTTTATCGTCACCACCACGGCCACCGACACTCTACCACCATTACAGCCACCATTACCACCACTACCACAACCACCACAAATATTAAGATTATGAAAGAGAAGAAGAGTAGTGGTAGAGCAGTGGTCTCGTAAACCGTGAGGTCCCCGGTGCGAAACCAAGTCGATGCGCTGCCCTTTTGATAAGGCATTAATCCTTATTACCAAGTCCCTCGGAGAGGACTTAAAACCACCGGTCCCGTGGTTGCTAACTTACAAGCATACACATGCTTTCTTAACAGTCGGGTACAACAAACAAGCTTTCTACAATTTGAGTATTTTATTGTCAATAACTTAGAAAGGCGCTGCTACAGAGAAAAAGAAGAATAAATACAAAACAGAATCAAATGGCAATATGTTTCTCAAAGAAAACAAAACAAGATGAAGTATAAACAAGAACATCCAACTAAAATACCTAACTCTTCTAACAGAAAGAAGAAAGTTAAGAGAAGCAGACTGATGAAAGTATAAAAATAAGAAAGTTATGATTTTTGAAAGTTGTCATCACTATACGTATTGGCACCTTAAATTGGTAATGCAAATGGGTCAAAGTACCGGACTACTTCCCCATTTGTACCAACACACACACAAAAAATTAATATTTAATTTATGGGTACTAATTTCAGGATGAAATTGTCTCGATGATATTAAAGCTGATAATATGTTTAAAATTATGTCTTTAAAGAGGCGTTTTGTTTTTATTTTCCCAGAGAATGATGGGCAGAATGAGTAATATACCAGCTATCCAATCTAAATGCAAAGCTGATTTGTTAAAAAATCTACAGCATTTACATGAATTACAAAACCTAACTTTGATTTTGTTAATTTGTCACTAATTTATTTCTTTAAAGCGCTTTAGGCATTGTGTACAATAATGCATACGAAAAGATTATCCGCTCACCAAAATGCTTACAAAATAGAATATTTTTATTCTCTCTCTCTCTCTCTCTCTCTCTCTCGTTATGGAAATATTTTTGAATGCGAAATCAATCTGCAAGATTGCAACAAACTTTTTCTTTCTTTTTTTATCAACTTAGGACGAATCGGGGATATGCATGGAGTAGGTGACTATCATGTGCACATATTAAACCTTTGGTTTGTATGTGCATGATTGTTTATCTGAAATACCACATCAGGGGCGAAATTGAATCTTATATATTTCCTTTTCTCAAGAAAGCAAACAAAAAAAAATTAAAAATGCAGAATAAGAGCTCTGTTTAAAAAGCGCTTTATATTTTTCCAAAACTAAAATTATCACTATTTTGTGTAATATTATTCATAGAAAGGCTATCTCTTTCGAGTCAGATCGCCAATGGCAATGTAAATCTGTAAATTATTCGTATCAACCCTTTTGTATGGATTTTAGGTGATTAGTGTTTTTGAAGTACAAAGTTTGGAAACTTAAGGTACCCAAATGTCTTGCTTTTAAAATACAGTTGAAATGGAAGGATTGGAGCAATATATCTCTGCCTAATCAATTTCCTTTGTTATCATGATAACTATAATACATTAAAGGCCCACTGCACTACTTGTATCTACTTTCGCCCTCTATATAACAAACCATGCCTAATCGGTGACGATTGGTCCCCCATGATCCTCGTTTTATTATGTTAACTGAGAGCTGAGTTGATGAGATAACCACCTGTCCAGTGACCTTGCAGGGCAGTCTAATCCCTCCTGTAAACTATGGCAGATACGCTTTAAGTACAACACTTCAAATTAAATTAGCCCAAGAGGGATTCATTGAAACGATATGCATAATTAATTGCAATCTATGTATAATTCATGATATTCTGGTCACAGAGGTTGTTCATGACCTTTTTCGCATATCGCTTATGAAACATATCTGACTTTAATATAGCAACATGCTTTTTTTAAAGTGATCCGGTAAATTTGTCTCAGATTCTGAAACAAAATCCTGGATTTAGCTCATGCTGCGATGATAATTATAAATATTTAAGTCAGTCAGGAACCCTGATGTAACACTATATCACAGATACTGATAACAATTACATGTAGGGCCGTGCATCTCAGATTTAACATTGATAAACGATGCCTTTAAATAACAATTTATAAAAGAGCTCTCGGCTTGAATATAAGTGAACACTTCCATCCATCCCCAGAGAGATAGAAAAGGATTTTACAGTCTATATCATTTGAAATTTGAGAGACAAACACATTATCCAAAGTGGATAAAAGAAAATAAATTAATAGTTTAAACATTATTCAAGTTAAGAGCAAAACAACGACAACGTATTAGGTTGTCTTCTTAACGTTAGCTGGCCATGAACTTTTGAAAGCTTTAGGTTGTGTCAATAATGATAACAATATTGATAATAATCATTTTGCTGATGATGATGATGATGACGACAACAACAATAATAATAATAATAATAATGATAATAACAAAAGATGATAGTTATGATAATAGAAAATAAATATTAATTATAATTATAATGATAGTAAAAAAAATATTAAATGATAAAAATATAAATTATAATAATAATAATGAATAAGGTTTTTAAAGACCATGATCAATAAGCGCCAATCTAGTTCCAGAAAAAAAGAAAAACAGAATATATTCTTTACAGTGTATTATTACCCCGACCACTGAATTTAATTTCGATTTTGCACTATATTATAATGCACATTATCCACTCCACTTTGGAGAATCCGTGAGTAATTCTAAAGCAAACTTGACGTCGTTTCTCTTTAACAGGTGTGAAGGGTGGTCACGACGATGGCGACGATTCGGACAACGACCAGGACAACGGCAAGAAGAAGCGTACTCGTCGACAACGCACACATTTCACCAGCCAGCAACTGCAGGAACTCGAAGCGAACTTTTCCCGTAACCGCTACCCCGACCTCTCGACGAGGGAGGAGATCTGTGCGTGGTGTAACTTGACAGAGACTCGAGTTAGGGTGGGTATTTATGACTTTAATCAGGCTTTAATTCACTTTCGATTGGGATTTTCCCCTCTTTCCTTTCTACTTTTTCATGAATATATTGAATGGTGCTCAGCCACGTGCCACCCCCACGTATGGTATCCATCATTTGCAACTGCTCTTTTGCAAATTCATTCTTTTTTACCTTCAATCATTTCCCCTTCTTCTCTCACTTCCCAATTCCTTGGCGGTTCTTAATTTTTTGTTTTACTTGTTATCAATATACTCATTCCATGCTATCCGTCTTCTTTGTCTGTTTTCTTCTTGTCTGTAAATACGATATGATTTGATGATGACTCTAAATTTTGATTGATTTATTAAGCTCTTCATTGTCATGACTATTTTCTTCCTCTCTCTCTTTCTTTCTTCGTTCTTCATTTTTTCAAGAGGCTTTTTAATTTCAAATGACCTTCTTGCCCTTTTCGTCCTCTACTTACTTTATTTTCATCCGTTTCTAGGCATTTGCCACCATCAAGTCCAGTCATTTTCCTTAAATATGGAACTATAAATTAGCCTCGTCCCCCCTCTTCAAAGTTCAAGACAACCCAGTGTTGATTTTATACCCGTCCTAATTACCAAGCAAATCAACTCAAATGTTGAGTTTTGGTCACCACAAGGTCAGATCATGATAATGACAAGTTTAGAGGCATGGCCTTCCAGCCCCCCCCCCCCCCTCTCCCTCTCTCTCTCTCTCTCCCTCTCTCTCTCCCTCCCTCCTTCTCCCTATCTCCCTCTTTCCGATGATTATCCTCGCGGCTTAATCCCTAATTAATCGAAGCTACAACATGGGGATTATACGGGATCAGTTTATCCCATTGGGGAGCGGGTGTCAGTCTAACTGGCAATCATGAGTTCCGACTGGTTTGACACGGTCGGTGTCAATCACTGTCCACGTGATCATTCATGGACACTTGACCGATTTTGTCCAGAATTTCCACTTCCTTTAGTTGAAAAGAAAATTTAGATGTTTTGATTTAAAGGCCCACTGCACTACTTGTAGATACTTGCGCCCTCTATATAAAAACAGTGCCTCATCGGTGACCATTGGTCCCCCATGATCCTCTTTTTCTTATGTTAACTGAGAGCTAAGTTGATGAGATAACCACCTGTCCAGTGACCTTGCAGGGCAGTCTAATCCCTCCTGTAAACTACGGCAGATAATCTTTGGTTGCTTGGTTTTTATTTACTGTATGTGTAATACATGATTGTGAACATAAGCAAATAAACAACACTTTAACTAAGAGGCGACTGGATAGCTCTCAGAGCCATTGGCGTAAGTATGGCTCTGTTCTAATCATGAAGGACCTTAATTGTTGATTATTTTTTATCTTTAGGCTTGCTTTGGCATTCACAAATTGAGTACAGGTTTTGGGCCAGGGCATTTATAAGTGAAATTCACTATTATTCTAAAGCAAGAGCTACTAAATATTTAAACGTTTACACAAACGCAATCCTACAAGGCGGATATTTCTTCAATATAACTCTGACATTTCTTTATTTATTTTCGAAAAATCAAATTCATTTATTTACTTCTTTTTTTTCTTCAAAATAATATCAGACTGAATGAATTTTTGTTTTACAAATCCACGATCATTCGACAAATTGTCATCATCATTGGAGCAAAAATATATATTCGGTCACAAAGTGTCGACTTCACTCAGAGAAGTTAGAACCGTCGACATCATACCTCCAGCCGTCCCAGTTTCGATCAAAAGATGAGTGGCAGGAGGATAGATAGACAGTTGGGTGGAGAGAAATTTGTGGGGGAAAATGAACCTCAGATAATTGGGTTCAATAATCCATACTCGAACGTGACGTGGCATATTTCACCGCGCATCGCATTGACATGATGAGGAGCGTGTTGCAGCGCTGCAATACACCTGAAGGGACAAAATATCACCGGGCATTTTGAGGGGCTCGCAAAGGAAATGTCGGGACACTCTGATTAGGTTTAGCCGCGCTATTTGTTGATATTTTGTCCGCCATGTTTATTTGTGCATTCTCTGTTATAGACTCGCCTGTCAATGAGACATATCATATCAACCCCTAATCATCTTCACGGCTACTCGAAGAGTGATAGGCAAAGCTGGAGGTTGTCCTTGTTTGAGAGAAAGAGGTAGAGGAGAGGAGAGGAGGAAGAAATGAGGAAAGGAAGGGGGAGAAAAGTGACTGCATTATACTTTTTTCCCGGGTTAATTTAAAGAAAGTCAATGGCCCACCCCCTCTTATTTCTTGTAATTAGATGACTGAATACTGGGGATCTCCTTAAACTGAAAAAATGCATATTGTTTGACTCGGGTTTCGTTACAACTGGCCTAAAGAAGCTTGTTGCTAAATTTTAGATTGATGAGTGTAGTTCAAGGCACCATTTAATAGAATTTTAAACTAAATTAAGATAACACAAATACAAGAAAATGTATTTGCAATAAGTATTACGAAATCATAATTATTCATATATACACAGCCGGATCCGGGGAAAAGGCATACAAACCAAGCACTATTAATCATTATTTTGATATAGCGATGACCCCTTTCCATTTTGGATCCTCGGAAAGGACGTTAAAAAAATGGGTGTAAACGACCCTGAAAAATTTGAAAACTTTTCCTCACATTTGAGAATTCAACAATTCTACTATATCACACTATATACCCTGCATGGCATTTCTTAATTAATTTGCTTTATTGTGGCAAAATAATGAAGACAATAACACTATGGATCTATAATATTATTCGACAGGCTGCTAGATTTATCAACGATTAAAACTGAAAGCTTCATTAAGTATTAAAGTTCATAAGATGCATCTCAATACTCTATTTATATGGGCAATGTAGCATGTCAACTCTTGTCACCCTTGATGCATTGATAATAGCTTAGGTGATGATGGGCCTCTAACACGTTCAATTTACTGCCTATTACATATGGGAATACACGGTGTTAATAGAGTGTCAGGTACATGGTATTTGCCACTCAAGGAGTGTAAAAGAGAAAGGAAGGGAAGGAAATAACAAAAAAACCGCGACGAAAATTCCGCCATTAGCCACGAGTGGTCTGGCGCCTCACGAGCCATGCAAAGCCATTATGAAATATTCATTATTCACGAAAAGCCGAGTGGTGAAGTTTCTATGCAATTATAGGGAGGATTTAGGTAACAATGTTGAAACAAAACGAACGTGTACAAGAGGGAGATGGCAAGAAAATTAAAAGAGAAGGGAAGAGGCTTTAGGGTAGGGGAGAATTCCGCTGGGACCTGCACAGCGCTTCCTGAAATGCAAGCGAGAAGCTTGGGCGGAATCGACTCTCAGCGGTTCGCTCGTTTTCTCTCTTGAGCGGGGAGGGAGTTGGAACGGCTTAGGCATGCTGTAGGAGTCCGTCGTCGAGAAGCGCTCCATCTCTGTAACAGCGATGATTGCATGGATTAAAGAGCTAAAACCTCCGTGATTTCATTTCCACATCTCCCTTTTCACCCATCTCTTCCTCTCTCTCTCTCTCACTCTCTCTCTCTCTCTCTCTTTCTCTCTTTCTTTTTCTTTATGTTTTTATTTTGCTTCTCCTGTAGATTGTCTTTCCTCTACCATCTCCTCTTTCCTCTCGCTATCTATCTATCTATCTATCTATCCACATACCTATCCATGTATCTAGCTATCTGCATACCTACCAACCTATATATCTATTTATCTATCTATCTACCTAGATCCTTTTCTCCCATCTGTCCTTATCAGTATCTGTGTACCTCAATCTACTTCCTTGCTCTTCTCTCTCTCTCCCCTTATTTTTCTTACCATTTCCCATTTCTTTCTCTCTTCACCTTCTGCCGTCATTTCTTATCTATATTTTCTATCATATTTTGTATATAGTATGAATTTCTATTAATTTTCTTTCTGCTATGTCCGTCTTTCTCCGTCTTGTCCGTCCTTTCCCTCCTTCCCCTCCTTCCCTTGTATCTCTAACCTTGTCTTGTCTTCAGTAGATGAAGAAGTTTTTTCCGTAAAATTTATCTTTTTGTCTCAATACACGAGACAGCCCAAGAATAACTTTTTAAAAGTCGAACTTTGCTGTATAGACTCGTATCTCTATTTCCTTCGCCATTTACGTAACGACATACCACCAGAGAAAAGCTACGATTGCATTCTATCGCAATACGAATGCGTTAATAGTATGGCGTCGCCGCCTCTCCATTTCGCTTCAAAAAGGAAGATAGAAAAGAGAGAAGAAATGAAAACCTTGGAAGAGTCGTTCTTTTTATCTCATCCCCAGATGCATTTCAAACGGTGGTTTAAGTTTAATTGTGCGGATTTGGGGGAGAAAAGGGATGAAGTTGGCGGGTGTGAGAAAGGTAATGGAAGGGTGAGACACCAAAAAAGGAGGGGAAAATGACACCGGGAATGAGAGAAGCGAGAGTATATAAAGCGAGGATACTCGAATCCCGTAATTGCAACCGCGGGTTCGTGAAAGGCTAGAAGAGCTACTCAACTTTGCCTGATCTTTCGCCTTAGACGAGGGCTTTGGGGGATGAAGTGGATGTTCTGGTCCTAGAGAAAGGGCCTCTTCGAGTTATCTATCGGGGGGTCATGATGGGAAATACTGCCGAAAGGAGTAGAAGAAGCGAAGAGGGGTAGAAATCAAACAAACTAGATCGCGCAACCTTGCAATTAGTCGAATCATTGCCGTCTCGTCAAGCTATTTGCCGAATGTTTGTATTTGGTTTACTTTGCGCTCGTTACAGGGGTGTGTTTTGTTTTCAAACAAACCATGACAATTTTGATTAAATATCTTCTGCTGTTTATATCACGGAGTTGCAGTAGGTCCATGGTTGGAGTCATGTACCATTTCAGGCATAAGGTACACTCTATTCTGGTATTTCCCTTTTGCTACAATACATGATACAAGTTTACTTCTCTTTTGACTGTACGGATATTTGATTGACTTTAGAATTTATATTAACAGTCTATAAATGAAAAAAGTAAATGAATTGTCA